GAAACTTCATTTCCTCATCAACACTGGTAGGCTGAATGTGTCTATTCCTAGCAGCAAGGCATGGGGAGAAAAGCTTCACACAGTGTTTTCACCTTCAAAATCCCCCACCCTGGAGAGCTTCTTAAGCGTGACAATGTAGAGACAGATCTGCTTGGTTTAGGGCAGGAGAGGATTTAGGAGAACAAGACATAAGAAAGAGCTAAGACCCTTTAAAATCAGTCAGGTCTGGTGAGGAAAACACTTAATGCATAACATCACTCTAACTGTCAGGTTTTAAACTCATAAGATTGCACAGAGTTAGACCATTGCATTTCAGGAGACACTGGAGAAATGTGGGGATGGCAGCTTGGCCAGGGGAAGAGAGCAGGGAGAGCACGACAGAGCTTCATATCCCTTTTTTCCTCCTGTGAGCCTGCACAGAAATACAGAATAAAGTTAATTGACCAAGATATTGCTAATTGCAGAGCTAATTTAAAAATTTGCAAGTGCTTCGTGTCCTGCAGATCTTCTCACCTAAAGTTTTTGCACCAGCCTTGAACTTGCTAATCCCCTAGGAGGCAGTGCCAGGCACCCCTGTCTGACCTGTGCTGATGAAGAGGAAGGTGATGCATCCCCACAGCTCATGGGAGTTGGAGATACTCTGCAGCCTTAGGAATAGATCTGCTTCCAGTAAATCCATGAATTAGCAAAAGGTCAGAGGCACTTCATCTAGAGCAGAGATTGCCTGAGAAATTTGGCCAGGAAGTGCCTCAGGTGATATCTTCACTCCACAGTGCTCATCTTCACTCCACCTGCCCACATCTGCTTGAGCTATGGTGCCCTTGGCTAGAAACTTGTAAAATCAGTGGGAAACAGACTGGATACCTGAGCACCACACACATTTAAACAAGATTTCCAAGCATTCAGACTCGTTGGGGTGTTACATTCTTTTCTTTATTTTTGCTTCAGACACCTCTTCCCAAGATGTGGCTCATAACCAGCCTGCTCTTATTGGGTTTGTGGGATGGTAATGACTGAAATCTTGGGAAAAAAATCTGACCAATTCTAATCTGATTAGTGAAATAGCAAAAAAAAAAAAGCCCTGGATGTAGACTAAATCATTAGAACTCTCTGACATTTGCTAATGATTACCAATAACCTTGTGGCTTCCAGGCTGGGCCTTGAAGGCAGCTCCATTGTTCAGAAGGGCTCTTGGGGGAGCTGAAACTTGCACAGCAGTGAAGAAGGGTCAGCTTAACCTATAGAATTGTCACTTGCCATTTGCAGGTTAACAAATCTTCTGTAAAATGCAACAGGATTGCCTCAAACTTTGCCAGACTGCTGGATGACAGGTCTGGCCTGTTAATTCACACAGCCAAGATAAGTAAAGCAACAACCCCAGAGCAGCAGAGGGGTAAGCACTCTCTCAGTCCCCAGAGTAAAGTGGTGTAAAACAACGTGATCAAACTTTGCTGAAGCTAAACCAGCTTCAAAACATTTAAAATGTTTTGATCCAGCTGATCTAAATGGTGCCAAACTGAGTTAAAGTCATAAGATTAAAAGAACATGTGTTTTTAGTCTGGATACAATTCTTATTTTATAACTTTATCATAACTCCTCTAAAGCTCCACATATCACCTATATAGGGAAAGCAAACTGGTAGCACTGAGTTTGAGTTTTGCAGGTCAGATGTCAACCTTCCTTCACCTTCAAGGTAAACTCCTCCTGTTGGTTTATTCCAGGCCATCCTTTATTTAGGCTCTGGCTTCATGGCTGCACTTCCATTATTCACACTGAGGGATATAAGGCCTTTTATTGATGCATTTTTAACTAAAACTGGTCCCCCACAAAGTGTCCCATGCATCAGAGCTTGGAACTGGAAGGGTCTGCAAAGACCTAAGGAGTTCAGGAAGAATTTCTCCTTGATAGGATGGTCCAGCATTGGAATGGGCTGCCCAGGGAGGTGGTGGAGTCACCACCCATGGAAGTGTTCAGAAATTATTGGTTGTGGCACTCAGTGCTGTGATTTAGCTGATGTGTCATAATGGAGCAAAGGTTGGACTCAATGACCTTGGACATTTTTCCCAACCTTAATGATTTTGGGATTCTCTCATTCTATGATCCTCCAGTTCAGCCCCTTAATGGCACGAGAAAACCTTTGAATTTAGGAAGATCTTTTTTTTAAAGGCGAAGAGAGAATAAAGTCACTTTAATCCTCTAGGAAAAACAGCAAGGAAATTTCATCATTTAACCTCTTGCAAAAGAAGGGGATGTGGGCATAGTCCTGCTGGGACTTGCCCAGCTTTATGATCAGGGAGGAATGAGCCATGGGGATTTTGTTGCAGGCCTAAATCTGGCCCAATTAGCACTAAATCTTGCCTTAACTGGAGTATGTCTGATGTTGAAAAAAGCTTGCAGATAGATTAAAATGGGAAGCAAGACAGCTTTTGCTTTTGTCTGATAGAGGCAGTGGGGACCTGAACCATGAATTGTTGGAATGTTTTTCTTCCTCTGGCTCTACAGTTACCTTGCAACAGCATGCACCAACAACTTGGCAAACTTTCCCCTCCAGGCCACCAGGCCAGTAAGCAAAGGCACAGAGGGGATCAGGGTGCTGGTACCTCCTCAAAGCACAGGCTTGGAGTTTGACCTCAATTACAACTAGAAATAAGCTCAAAGAATAAATCCCTGTAACATGTGCTGCACCTCAGAGTGGCCCAGCCAGGCTGCTGATGGTGGGAGGGATCAGCAGAGCAAATGCTTGGAGAATGGGGGTTCTGATGCCCAGAGCTCTCAGGTTTTCTTGGATGAAGCTCAGCCTCGGGCTGCAGTTTGAAGCTAGGAGGATGCACCTGATCTCCTAACTCTGGGAAACATTTTAGTGATGCCTCTGATGGCGGGTGTGATGCTGGGCCTAACTCTGCCTGCTCAGCTCCCTGTTATCAGCAGGGAGGGGGGGATGGAGGAGGTGAAGGTCACAGGGCACAAACCACTGAATGACCAAGACTCCTGGCTAGAGACAGCAAAAGCAGAGCTCCCTGGGGCTCTCCAGGTGAACAGATAAACCTTGCTCACATATTTTAACCCTCCTCCATCCCTTGAAGTGCTCAAGTCCAGGTTGGATGGGGCTGGGAACAACCTGGTCTAGTGAAGGTGTCCCATGGCAGGGGGATTAGGACTAAATGATCTCTGAGGTCCCATCTAACCCAAACTTTTACAGGATTCTATAATTCTAGCACCTCTTGGGGAAGGTGTCCAGAGCTGATCCAGCACAGGTAGATCATTGAAGAGCTCTGACAGACTTAGCCTGTCCAGGGGAGGTTGTAGGTGAGTCTGCTGTGCCTCTTCACCACAAACAAATTGAAGGACACACATTTTGGGACTGCAGACTTCCATTACTATGGCTGTGTTTGTCCTTACTCCTAAAGTTTGGGGATATAAGCTTTCCTTTCTAAGGCTGTGTTGCTCTTTGCACTTCCAGGTGTGCACTGGTGTGTACTTTTGATCTCTCACCAGGTGTGAGCAGGGCAGGGGAAGTGTTTATCACCGGTGGAGTGCCAGCAGGGGGGTGTTTCCCCCTCTCAAAGCCTCCCAGCCTCGTGGAGGGGAAATGCAGCCAGCAGGATGTGCTGGGCTGCTGCACTGGGGTTTGTGTCAGTGTCTGGCTCGTTTCTGCTGGAAATTGCAAAATCTTTCCTGTGCATGGAGAGGGAAGTTTTGCCCTTCGTGTACACGTAGATTGTTGTGTATTGAAATGGGGAGAAGGCTTAGGAGGCACGTGAAGCACCGGAACAAACCAGAGGAGGGGGCAGGAATCATGTGGCTCAAAGCTGGTTTTTCACAGACTGCTATAAAGGAGTTTGTTTGTCTGTTTAATTTTTTAATTTCTCTAACTCTTTAATTCCACTTTATTCTCTCTGTCTGTGTTTACATCTTTACATTAGGAGGGGAAAATCTGTCTTTTTTGGAGGAGGAGGGATAAGGAAAAGGCAAGAGAAACTTTCTGAGTGCGTGAACTGAAAAATCAGTTATTTATTCTTTGTAACAAACACTTTAAAGAGCTATAGAGACAGAAAGTTGACATTATCTAGCCACTATACCTCCTCTCTGCTTCTCCATGTCCCCCTTTCCCTTTCTCAAATGGGAGAAAATACCTATTTGAGATGAGAGAAGGTCGTGCCTGGGATCAGCAGGATTCCCTGGGACCGGGGCAGAGCTCTCAGCATTTCCAGCACTCCCATATTCCAAATTCTCCCAAATCCTCCTCATCGGGGCCGGCAGCCCAGAGAGCAGCTGGATGGAGCAGAGAGCCTAAAAAACTTCATTCTGCAGGGGGACCTCTAGTGTTTTCCTTTCTCCATGTCCTGGCAGAGTTCCTCCAAAGTACAAATACACACAGAGCTCCCATTGTTTGCAGCCCTTCACAAGCCCACTGATCCTAATATGGAATTCAGCAGGAAACCCATGATTTCCTGACACACAGCAAGCTGGAGAAAGAAAGGAAAAACTCCATTAAAAACCTCCAGACTCTCCTCCATGTAGAAATGAGATGGAAAATGGAGTGGATTTAACAGGAATCCCTGGTTCCTGCGGCCAGGCTGGAGGAAGGGAGACGCGGATGGAAGCTACAGACTGCTGATATTTTTTGAAGTCGCAATAAAGACTGGGAACGGCCGGGCAGGATGAGGATTTCCTGACTGGGACAAACGAAAAAGGACAGATCACTCTTTTCTTCTTTTTTTTTTTTTTTTTTTTATGTTTTATGCTATTCCTCTCTGTGTGTTTAATTTATTCACCTCGATGATCCTCTTGACTGATCTGGTAACTGTAAGAAGCGGCTGTGACAGCCTGGAAACATTAGTATGATTTCCTGAGTTTGAGATTTGCTGCTCTCCCCCCCCCACCCCCCACCCCCCTCCTTCTCCAAACTCAGGAAAAGTCAATACAATCGCACTTCATTTTTCCTTCATGTGCACTTGGAAGTCCTGGGAGCAGCAAGAGCAGCGGCGGCAGCAGCAAGAATGAACTGCAAGGAGGAAAATGACAACTGCACTGACGGGAGCAGGAGCAACACCAAGAAGATGCTGAAATGTGTGGTGGTTGGGGATGGTGCAGTTGGGAAAACCTGTTTGCTGATGAGCTATGCCAATGATGCCTTCCCAGAGGAGTATGTCCCCACTGTGTTTGACCACTATGCAGGTAAGAAAGTGCTTTAAAAGAAATTTAATCGAGAGCTGCAGGGCAGCCAGGTGGGAGGTGAAGGCAGCTCGAGGAGAGGACAGTTCAAAAGGGATGCATGGGTTACTTCTTGTCCAGGAATGTCATTCAGGCCTGGATGGTTGCCAGGCAGCTTAGATGGCAGCTCATAAAATTGGGACAATGCAGGATTTATTCAGAGAACTTATTTGTTTGCTTCTTATTTTTGTCTTGTTTTTGGCGAATAAGAAGCGTTAGGGATGGAGTTAAATCCACTGTGTTTTGGGACAACAAATGTAATTCAGCCTCTATCACTTTGTATTCTTGGTTAGTTTTTGAAGTTCTGAGCTTTGCAGTTTGCAGTTAGGAAGACTCTCTCTATATATATATGTGTGTATATATATATATATATATATGTTATCACAATCTTGTCCCTCTTGGCAAATGATGCATAAATTACAATATTTATATCCTATTTAAGGAATAATCTTTGACAATATATCCTATTTAAGGAGTGATCTTTGAGAAAACCAGCACAGTCTCTTTCCAAGCTGTCAGTATATGACTCTCCTTTCAGAGATGTTTGTTACTCCATCTATAAATAGATTTTGATACTACAACTTGATGGTAGTGAAAAGCAGAAGAGGTGATTGATTTGAATCCTTCATAGTAGGGGAATTTGTAGTATAAGTAAAAAACACAAATATAATCAAGATCACCAATGATATTCACTGCATTGCTGTGCAGAACAGACCCACAGATTAAGCACAATATTCACAGGCCTCTCTCTGTAGCAATTACTGACTTTGTCCAGCTGTGTCCAAAGTTATCACACAGATGTTTCATAGGCTAAAACTGGTGTTCAAACATCTGCTTAAATTTTACTGTCCCAAATTCTGCTGTTTTTCTTCTCACAGTGCTCCTTCGGCTTATGGGGTTTTTTTAATGAGATCCCAGACACAGATTCTAGAAGCACTGCAAAACTCCTTGCTTATCTTGCAGCAGCAGTTGGAGTTTCCCTCATTCTCTCCCCACCTCCTTAAAAACTGAATTTTCATGGCGTGGCTTATCATAGATTTGGTATTCTGTAATGGGAAAAATCCCTGTTTGCATTCTGGCTCCGTGTCAGGTTGAGCAGATGAACTGGCCAAACAAGAAAGCTGTGTAATTGCAGACTCTGATCCGTGGAAATGTGATGACCTTTTCCTCCACAAGAGTGGGCAGCATCACTTCTAATGCAAGCAGCTCTCTCTTTTCTCTGCCCTTCCCACCAGATAGATTGAGTGATCCCTTTAGAAAAAAACATTTCCACAGACAAGATATACAGCATTTATTAAACATTACATATTGCCTATTGGAAATACGTGCTTCCATGAGCCAAAATCCCTAAGGGCTGTCTTATAGTGCAACAGCACCAACTTTCCTGTGATAACTTCAGATCTGTTCACCCCTTACAAAATGCTGATCCCAGCATCCACTGCCCTTCTCCCTCTCTCCTCCATGCCCTGCAAATACCTCTGCCTATGGGAAAAGCCATCCAATAGTTGGTGCCAGACCATGTGGGCATCAGTTTTGGTGATTTTGGTGTGAGCCTGGGGCACACGCAAGGGCAGTGATGGCACTTGGTGGGGGCACCACTCTGAGTTTCTCCTCCCTAACCAGCCACAGGTGACTCTCAGGGACTTGCTTTGATTCCCTTTCCTCTGTTCTGAGCTGTTGGAAATTGCCACTGGGCTCCAAAGTTACTGAGGGATACGAGGGCTGAGGGAAGGATGGGAAGATGAAGTAGCATAATCCTGATCTCCTTGGCGTAAAAGGAGTATGAAAGCACTTTTAAATCAAGCCTCATTTTCAGGTTTGAAGACTTAGCCTCTAAAATATCTCCAGCTATTTTTATCTGCCTTCTTAACTACTATAGCACATAAATATAAAAATATTTTCAGTGACAAAACTCATAAAGATAAGAGGGAAAAATAGCTCTGTTTATTAACATGCTGTTCTGAGATAATCCCTATCCAGTGGCAGTGGTCAAAACTAGCATTGATCACAAATGGAAATTCAGTGTTTTGAGGAATCCCATCATTTATTAAAATGATTTCACTACAAAATTGCACACAAAGTCGAGCAGCAGGAATTACTTCTAAAGCAGAGTGCTGGAAAAAATCCCACTCATAAAAATATTACGTGGCATAAAGTATACCACAGCCTATTTAAAATACTGTGGGTATTGATTGAGCAAATAACTCACTTGGGGCAACCTTGCCCCTGAGCTTACAGTTTTTAGGACCTTCCATTGGATTTTCCACATCCATCTGCATGGGAGCCCATGGTGAAGAGGAGAGGTGGGACAGCAGTACCATGGTCACAGAGGTACCATGGGCATGGTGGCAGCACAGGCAGCACAGCACATGGGAAAGCTGCACACATGGACAGATCCTGAAGGGTGTGGGAGGCTCTGGAAAATCACATTTGAATTTACCCCAGGAAAATGGTTTGTCCACCCCTGTCCTTGCCACTGCTGAAACCAACTGTTTCAGTTTTCCAAACAAGCTGAAAACATCAGATTCAATGGTTAATTTCTATGCTGGAAATGCTCACAAGCAATTAATTTCTCCAGATTTTTGCAAAGCTTCACTTTCCATGGGAGGTTTTCCACCCAGGCGTTATTACCAGCAGTGGTGTGTTAGCAAGGGCTTCCTCTTGCCTCACCAGGTCACAGCCTGGTTGTGACTCCTGGGGCATTTACCAATTTACTTCTTCCTAATGGAAAATGTAGGGGGTGGGGAGGGGAAGCATTAAAACCCGAGGATTCCAGTGGTGATCTCAGAGCAGTTTCTCACTGCCACGACTCCAGCGACTCGGGGGAGACAGTGATGCTCTCCAGCCCAGCTTTGGGAAAAGCTCCAGCTGCACCAGGCCAAGGCCTTAACTGTTCATGGCCCTGAAGCACCAGCTCTGTGCACTTGCCCTGCTGCATCTCATCTCCTCAGCTCCTGCAGCTGAAGCAGGTGGAGGTAGCAGCAGGAGTGGTCAGGGGAAGAAACAGCTGAGTTCCTGCACTGTTAGATCTGCACGGTGCTTATTCAGTGCCTCTCACATGAAAGAGCTTGAAACCACTTTATAAAAGTTGGGCCCAACCTGCCTCTAAGAAAATCAAAGGCAGGATCTGAGTGTCACCCAGGGAAGGAGCAGGTATTCCTGCAGGTAACTCACACAAGGAAGGAGCAGATATTCCTGCAGATAACTCACACAAGGAAGGAGCAGATATTCCTGCAGGTAACTCACACAAGGAAGGAGCAGATATTCCTGCAGGTAACTCACACAAGGAAGGAGCAGATATTCCTGCAGGTAACTCACACAAGGAAGGAGCAGGTATTCCTGCAGGTAACTCACCCAGGGAAGGAGCAGATATTCCTGCAGGTAACTCACACAAGGAAGGAGCAGATATTCCTGCAGGTAACTCACCCAGGGAAGGAGCAGGTATTCCTGCAGATAACTCACACAAGGAAGGAGCAGAATTCCTGCAGATAACTCACACAAGGAAGGAGCAGATATTCCTGCAGGTAACTCACCCAGGGAAGGAGCAGATATTCCTGCAGATAACTCACACAGGGAGGGAGCAGATATTCCTGCAGGTAACTCACACAGCATTTACAGCTTGGACGCAGCGGTGCCTGGCACGAAAAGCTCTTGGTGGCTCACCACGTGTGCAGCTGCACTGTACAAAAGTCCAGACCAGTTATTAGCTCCACACTAGTAATATCCTGCCTCAGATTTCACCCACAGTCCACAAAACCGAATTTCTTCAGGGCCTGTTGCCAGTGTTGGGATGTGACGGGTGTAGAGTAGGATCAGAGCAATGCCAGACAGATGGGGAGGGCAAATTTGTTACTTGGATATGAAAATTGTTTCTTTCATTGGATGCATGGAATTTTATGAGTCTGGGTATTTCTCAAGGCATTTTGAAGAGGTTTTGCTGGAGGCCAGAGCCCCGAGTAGGTTTCCTTGCTTTGGTGAATTTCCAAATCCTTCACTGGAAGTGTTTAGCCACAAGGCAAATGGGTGTTCCTACGCAGGTGCACCAAAGTGCTATCCCAGCGACAAACAGGATATTGCTGGCAATAACTGTAACAATAGGGGCTGTTTGGATAGTGAGTAGATGCTTCAACATGCTGGTTCCACTCTGTCTCTTGAACATCAAATGCTGGTTTTCCATGAGCAAAGGTCTCTCAGCCAGGGTGACTTGTATTGTGCCTAGATATGTGAGGTTACAAATGTTTATTTAGGGCTGAGGTTGGACCAACAAAAAAACTCAATTCAACAGCTAGCAGAGTTGGTTTAATAGAACCAAAGGTAGCTGGCTTGCTCTGTGAAATACATAAGAAAAATGTGTGTTGTTACTTAGGAAATGAATATAAAATGGGAGCATCCCATTTTATATTCATGAAGCCTAAAAACAGCAATTTTTAGCATGAAATTTATTTTCCCTAAAATTTATATTCAGGCTTCCTGGAGAGGTGACCAATGTCCCAGGGCTGTCAGTGTTTAATAGGCATTTGTATAATGCCATTAATTATGTGCTGTGAGTTTTGGTCAGCCCTGAAATGATCAAGTAGTTGGACTAAATTATTGCTGTATGTAGGCCCCATCCATCTGAAACTATTCCATTCTATTCCAGAATTTCTTGTAAATTAAAAAAAAAAAAAAACTTCTCCATGCTTAAGGAGCAGTAACAATGGCATGCAGCTAACTTGGCTCACTGTGCAGACAAGGGTGATTGGACTCATCAGAAGTCTGAGGAAAAGAGAGCTGTGAGTCTTAAGCTCAACTCCAGTTCAGGCATAATACAGAGATGAATACCATACAAACAACTTTAGGAGCCAAAGTTGCATCTTTGATAGATGAGAGAGGTCAATCCCTCCAAGGGAGAACTGCAAAGCATCTGCATGAAGTAGATGGTGTAAATATGTCCCTCCCTCCCCTCATGTGTCGGCACAAACTGG